ACACATTTGACAGGTACGAAATATATAGAAGCCTCGTCTACACGGAGTTTGTCTTGACCCGAGTTAAGCTAACGCAGCTAGCGGGAGGCGGTGTTACTGCGGTATGCGACTACCGCTTAACTCGAGTTAACGATTTCGCGCGCGTCTACACGAGTCTTAACTCGGGTTAAGCTAACCCGGGTTAGCTTAACCCGAGTTAGACCTCGTATAGACGCTTAAGCCGAGACAAATTTTCTCGTGTAGAAGATGAATAGAACGCTTAAGCCGAGACAAATTTCTTCGTGTGAGACGATGTAATAAGATAGCTTAAGCCAAGACAAATTCTTCGTGTAAAGTTCATCTATAGAAGGATTTTTATCGCGGTATAAGCATTTGTCTTAAGCAAGATCTGTCTCGGTATAGCGTCGTATAGACGGTGTTCACCAGAGGATAGCGCATATAGTTCCTTACCCTGCGATATGCGGCAATAGTGAATGCGTATATTTACATCGATGCGTACATACAATGCGATAATTACGTACCAGAACCGCTCAAGCATTGAGCGGGTGGTGCTCGTATAGACGCTGCGCAAGTCTTAACTCGGGTTAAGCTAACCCGAGACTTGTAACCCGGGATAAGAAAACTTCGTATAGACGAGTATTTATATATTATTCGGTGGATTGATGAACATAGAATGTCGCCATATTATTTGCATATACGATTGCACTTCGAAAAGATAGTTCACATTGAAAAAGTGACTGTTTGCGCTAACCCAACGCTTCGACTAAATTGTATTGTTTTTAGGTTCCAAATTTGTGTGACAGCTGGCAGTTAGCGAGTTGTCCAGCATGTGAGAGCAAAAAATACTGAAGAACATATTGTGGTTGAGTTGCCACCGCATATACGAGCGATTCAAAATGGCTTAGAAACTGATTGTCCTTTCAGTAAGTATAATGTGCACATATTAATATACTTTATGGTACCCAACTGAACCACATGTCTGTTTTATATCAGCTACAAATACACATTTATATTGTGAAACCGTTATATTACTGTTACATTATTATCGTTGTATATATAACAACATAGCATATATTAACATTAATAATGTGTGCGCTAACTTGATTTCTTATAAAAACAAACTACATAAATAGATATGGAAAGAGCTAAATTGACCTTATGACTCGTATGCCATATGATATTCTTGCAGCAGCTGTTATTGTTTCTCTCATATCTTTAAAACCTTGAAAATATTAGTGTAATTGGGATGCCCTTGCTCGTGATGTGGTGGAAGAGGACAGGACCAACATCACTACTGGGCAGTTTGTAGCTGTGTATACAGAAACACGGCAACACAGGCCATGGATTGGAAAGGTATGCTACTGGTAAATTTAACGTGTAATTATGAAAACGGCAATTGTCTGCACATCAAAGTAAATCCAGAGAGACCGGGTACAAGATGGCGTTGCGCAAAAGATGCGTTGTTCCCCGACCGCCGAAAGCGGTTAAGCCGCGCACTTCGCGGGGACTGGGCGCACGCGACCGCGGGATGTATACTATAGCTCCCCGTATACGCATTCGCCGCGCCGAAGGAAGGCGGCGCGCCGAATGCGTTATAGCGGGCAGCCTAACATCGCGCAGTTTTCGGGACACGTACATCGGCTCGGCGACATCGGCTTTGGAGGGGCGCCTTTCGATTATAGATTGACACGCGTTTGTACATCCTCGCCGTCGTACCGTCACCTGCCGTATTTTCGTACCTTATCTGGCGTTCTCCCACTCTCTTTCTCTCTTCCCCACGGTCTGTCTCTCTCTCTCTCTCGATCTCTCTCTCTCGCTGGCTCCGCCGCCACGGGTTAATACACATACACTATATACATGCATCGATGCTTCCGCAGCCTGGCACACAAGCATGCACTTGCAGCGTTTTAATAAAATGTAATGCTAAATAAATACAAAATCTATTTACTAGTACTACGAAAGTCACCGCGGCGCAAAAACTCCCCGAGCCAGGTTTGTTGGATATAGCATTTCGACCGTGCCCGGCCGCACGTGGAGCGCGGGGGAGAAGGGAGGCTGGAATGTCGCGCTCCGCGGTCTTCGTAAAAACATGTGCATATATATATTTGTGTGTCAGTGTCGCGGCGTATTGCAGGATTAGCTACGTGTAAAAACTGCCACGGCCACGCCAGCACGTGCTCGCACGACCTGCCGTCGCCACGGGCAGCGCGGGTCAAGAGGTTGATAAAAACTCGCACGTACGGAGCAGGCGCTTTTGGGAATAGATAGCATCTAGACCGCGCCAGCCCACGTGGAGCGCCGTACACGTCTTCGTTAAAACCTCTGTGATAGACGTAACGCTATACTCGGCAGAAGCCGCTGTCATCGCGTAGCGGCCAATGAGCGACGCGCGTCATTGCTTATTGACAGCATTTCTTGTAGGAGCCACTACGTCTTAGCCATGAGGCGCGCCACCCCAAAAAAGTTTAGGGCCGTTTGGAGATGGCCTCAAGCCGTCCATCCCGAAATGTCGGTTGGATTGCCGCCCAGTTTTTCGCGGAGTGCGTTTTCAGACCCCGTCTCAGATATCTGTCTAAAAGGACAAAAAGGGGGCGGCGTATTCGCGTTAGGGCGCGGCTTCGCCGCGAGCTGTGCGCCTGCGCGCAAAAACCGGGGCCGGCAAGTCCGTCCAGAGAGACATGATACAGGTTGCGTTGCACAGGCTGTTGATCATGGGGCGCTGAGCGGCGCCGACAACACGCTGTTCGCGGGTATTGCGCACGCGCGACGCGGGATGTTCAAGTATGAAGCGCTGTCCGCAGTGGAGACGTGCGCCAAATTCGAGGCCCGGCGCACGTCTCCACAGCGGTCAGCGGATGCGTCTGTAGTTTTAGAAGATGACAATGATTATATGGACGATATTCTAGAAATTGGAGATTATAACAGTCACTAACAGTCGAAGAGCCTGGTCGGTTTAGCCCCACATTAGCTGAATCAAAAAGATTAGAATTTAATATGAACATAACAAATATAATGGTTATATAAAATTCACAAACAAAGAAAGATTTTTGCATCATTCCTTGATTGATATACGTATATTGATATGATTCCTTGATATTTCGTGATACCTAAGCCTAGGCTAAGGTCCCTAGGCTAAAGTGGATTTGCACCGGTTATAACGTTATGATAAGAGTCCGAACTGAAAAATGTAGGTTAAGGAAAATAATGATTATGGGCAAGAGCAAAAATTGTGGAAATCATACTATAGAAGCAAGAGTGAAATTATGCGAATACACAGTTTTACCTTCTTCCTAAATAACAGTAATTTTGCACACTGGAGAGATAGTGATCCGCTAGGGGACGGCCCTGATTGGCTAATTTTATCTCTTATTTAATTTTATTATTTTTATGATCCAAGAGATGGCGCTGTGGCATGTAAACATTGACTAGGCGTCTGGGCCAAGGAGTTAAATATAACTCCTTATATTTAGCTCCTTGGTTTGGGCTAGGCGTTAACGCGTTGACCCTATGTAAACCGACATGTTGGAACTGGGCTGGCCACGCCATGTGTCTGGAAAATAGGCAGATAAGAGATAAGCCCTCGGCTCAGAACCGCCGTGCCGCCGTACGCGCCGTATAAGGAATAATGGGCGGGGCTTACGGTCTCACTAAAATGCGGATTTACGAGGAAATTCGAGGGCGCAGCGTGCTAAATAGCACGTAATTTTGTTAACGAGCCCTTAGCTATCGATTAAGACAATTCGCGAGAGTAGATTGATGCGGCAGAACGTGAGATCGGCGATTCGCTCGAAAATGCAGTAGATGTACTTTTTTGGATGAGGGGTGGGGGCGATGCCTGTGTTAGCGTGGCACTGCGTGCCAATCATCGGGTTGCACCCATCACACGCCCGTCACGTCCAGCTGTGTAGTTCCCTCTGCTGTGTGCACTACAATGGAAAGAACTGTACGTTTTATAACACAGTTTATCTCACATAACTTGGAATAGGAAATACTCACTAACAGACGTACCAGATGTGTACTTATGCCTACATTATTTTATTAAAAATGTTACACACCTAAATAACTTTTCCGTAAAAGTAATGTATACATAACTTTGAAGGTGGAACAAAGTGAAGAAACCCTGGAAGTTCACTGGTTTGAAGGAAGTTACACCACTACATGGAAGGGTATGTATGCGGGTGTAGGACGAAGCCGAAGACCGTACACAGATTTTGTGTCACGGGATTCCGTCTTATATTGGGGATTTTGTCTATCGGCACAAATGCCGTCTTTTAAAACAAACACAGGCAGAAATTGAAAAAGATACGCAAATGAAGATAACCTGAGAGAACATTCGTAATTGTGGATGTGTGTGTCGGTATGAGGGCAGCTATATATAGCACCACTCATAAAAACCCGGTTCGTAGTTTACATACGCGGAGTTTGAGCCGAAAGTTAGCAGTAGCTCGCTGTTATCAGGGCTGCTATATTGCAGCCCGCATTAAAACCGGTTCGTAGTTTACATCGCGGAGTTTGAGCAGGAATAAGCAGTCGCGCGCTGTTATTAGGGCTGCTATAATGCAGCCCTCATAAAACGTAATAGTTTGCAATGTTCACGTTTTGTTGACTATATTATAGCAGTGTTATCATAGGCTGGCCACTTCTTGCTAGCTTAATAGTACATGGAGTGTATTTGGGCATGCATTGTTTCAGAATTTCACTTTGTGCATGAACTACGCAGAATTTTGGTTTTGTTGGAGTAGTCTGGTGTCAAATGCTATATTTGATTTATAACTGCATTTTCTTGGCATGAAAAACATTTACCTAACTTTGTATTTCACTCGACAGCAACAAATTGTAAATTAAAAGAGCTTCTTTGGAATAAATTCTGCAAGTTGTCTATATTTATGATGTTCACCCTGATTTTTGTAAAACGTATTTACACGTTGTGCAATTTGAAGTCTCCAACTTTACACCGAAACATAAACATCTGTACAGCAGAGGAATCTTATAAAGTTTCTGCCATCCACGCATTTGATTCTGTTGTTTTCCTTCTGCATTTTCCCTTGCCAACATTTCCATGAAGTAATTACGGTGACTAGTGGTGTGTCATTTCTTACCCTCTTCAAGCATGTTGATGAGTTATCGTAATTGAAGATTCATAAAACTAAGAGAAAGCTGATCATTATACGCTAGAATAGTCAGCAGTTCTGACCGTCATGTGTTCATGCGCATTCTAGTACGCACCAGTTACAATAATGGCTATAACCAGTAAATAACCATGCAGTTCTAGATCTATTGTTTGACGGCCAGTTTCGCACCGCTATTTACGGGTTCTATGTAGCATCACAGGCACAATCTATTCAGTCAAGTTTTGAAAGCATTGTTTAAACAGCGATCATTACCAGGCTGCTGACGCAGCCGATTCGGGTCATTCTCGCACCTGCAACAACTACTAGGATTTGCGACAGAGATCGCATACGCATATTACAGCAGACGGCCAGTAAAAGGTGAGATGTTCTGACAGAAAAACATGTTGTAAAGCTATCGATATTGAAATGTACTTTAAAGCAAAGAAGAATTTTTTTGTATGAGATATATATATATATGAACGATTTTTCTGCTAATACGTACCTTTTAGCAAAGTCATCCTCTGTGTCAATATAACGGTTTATACAATTGATTGCAACGATTCGGCAAGGTGCAATTAAAGTTGTGTTAATAACAAAATATAGATAGCAGCAGCTATAAAACAGCTTTAAACCAGCTCTTTAGGTAGTCCATAACAAATTCTATGATTTGTTCATTGTGTAGAGCAAAACCGACAGTAACAAACCTAACCCCGAGTACAAACAATAGAAACTTAATCGCTATATTATTTTATTTTAAGGAAAGCAAAGCCTCACGAATATGCTCCAGCATATAGTGGTTGGCCAGTGGCATACAGGGGAGCAGGAGAGGTGCAGCAACCTTGTTCAGCCCCATGGAAATGTCTTCCTAGCAGACATGGTAGAGAGACCAGAGAGAGACGAAGACGGACCCATTGTCAACGCAGAACCGAGACCAGAAAACCTTTATGCAGCAATAATAGAAGCGTATAGTCATGAGAACGACACCGTGATCGATGCTTGCTCTGGGACAGGTATATAAGTACATTGCTCACCATATAATATGTCATAAAGAAGGGAAGGAAGAAACGAAGTCATTTTGTCTAATACAAGAGTAAATTATCATTTGGCTTTCGTTTACGTACTTGTGCATGATACTTCTTTTAAAAGACGATAATATGAAATCTCAATTCCCAATTAATAAAAATTTGGTTTTAAGAGTGCAATATATATTACAATAAATTTTTCAGAAAAAAACAGAAAATTGTGAAATATTTTTACAGGTACGGGGATAACAGCGGCTATGAGATTGAAGAGAAATTGTGTTGCAGTAGAAAACGACATAAAGCAGGTCGAAGCCATCAAGAAGAGACTAATACGCCTACAGTGTAACTTGTAAATGCTGTTTTGGGAAAAAATTGTAGTCACGCTAATTTTGCCTATTTGGAACCCATTTTTAACATTAAACAGAAGAAAACTTTGATATATGTTTAACAGTGATTTTGTATATAAAAAGTTGTATATAAATAGTTTAGTGTAATTTCATGTTTTTGTGTATGTCGCTCATTGAGTAAATAGTGCATAAAACTAGTCCTTTTTAAACGTTTGCAAACAAAAATATCTTAAAAGTAAAAAAAAAGTCTTATGAAGGTTATACTTGGACTAGTAATGCATTGCATTTCAAGTGTTTAGATAATAAAAATTTATTATCGGTATTGCTAATTAATAAGCTGTGATTTAATTCAACCTGTACACGTAGTAGTTTTTCTGAATAAGCCACACGTACAGTAATAATTCGTTTACATGTAACCGTGTCTCAAGTGTGTAATACATAAGCTATGATTTAAACTTTTAGGCGAATATTAACTTTTACTACATTGGTATATTCAAGGGTGTTTAACGTTGATTTTGTAACTGATGCAAGGAAATATAGTCTGTTAAAAAATTAGATTTTTACAATAAACTAGTGTAACAATATCTATCTATTTGATTATACTGGCATGCGGCTTTAATAGGCAGCTTCAAATGTTATGAAGTATATCATTAATCAACGATTCTATCACGACCTTAGTCTATTCCCAAACTTAGCAGTCGCGCGCTGTTTATCGTTTCTACAGCAAGCATTTTTAACGTTGGTCTTGTGACTGCATGGTGCAAGGAAATAGTCTGTTTTGACTTGGCAGTCGTCGTTATGAGGGCTGCTATAATGCAGCCCGCATAAAAACCGGTTCACAGTTTACATACGAGGAGTTTGAGCCGGAAGTTAGCAGTCGCTCGCTGTTATCAGGGCTGCTATAATGCAGCCCGCATAAAAACCGGTTCACAGTTTACATACGAGGAGTTTGAGCCGGAAGTTAGCAGTCGCTCGCTGTTATCAGGGCTGCTATAATGCAGCCCGCATAAAAACCGGTTCGTAGTTTACATTCGCGGAGTTTGAGCAGGAAATAAGCAGTCACGCGCGCTGTTAGCAGAAAGTGGATTCTAAATTCATGGTGTAAAGCAATGTCTTATAGCAGGTGTAAGGAACACCAGCTATATTATAAGCAAAATAGTCAACGCATAGCTTTTTGAAAAGCTCGAACTTTACTTCTGCTACATTTCATAAAATTCTTCTCACCTATAGCTTGTATATAAAATTACAGCTACGAAAAAGTAGTGACGCCTGTTATCTGGCAGAAATTCTCATTTCCAAGAATTCAAAAGTATTTCCAATGCTGTTCAAGGTTTTAATTTCAAGAGGAATTGTTTCCCATATCCTTGAGGCCAGAGACTTAAATCGAGATAGACCATAGTTGGTCCTGGAGGCAGGTCTGTGTAGATTACCTTTTGAGGCATACCTAGTGTTGTAATTATGTATTTGTAAAGCAGAAGGAATTAGATCAATAAAGGCTGCAGGAATATCCGTTTTAACATACTTGATTTTGTGTACAAGAGTTGAGATTTTGAGTTTCAAAACATTATCAAGATTTAGAATGTCTAGAAGGAATTGTAGTATGGGGTAGCACTTTCTCTTTTTTTAGCAAAGAAGATGGAACGCATACATTTATTCTGTTTTGTTTTGATTTGTTGTAATCGAGTTTGGTAGGCAGTCCCCCAGCTCATTAGGCCATAATTAATATATGGGTACATGAGGGTATAATAAAGTTGTCTAAGGGTGCTAATAGAAACATATTGCCTAAGTTTGTTTAGAATACCTATATTTTTTGCCAGTTTGTTATTAACATGTCTTATCTGTGCATCCCACTGTAAATGGTCATCAATAAAAACACCCAAATATTTTATCTGTGTTCCTTTTTCTATGTTACATGTAGTTATTGAAATAATAGGCTTTTTCCTAGGGGAAGTAATGAGCATGTATTTTGTCTTCTTGAAGTTAATTGAAAGTTTGTTCACTTTTTGTTTTGTTTCACTGGACGATTTTTTTTTGTTCACTTTGTTTCACTTTTTTTATGTTTCCTATATCGAGCTTGTGAGAAGGGACGGGTACCAGTCTATACACACAGTACAGGCGGGCACATGCGCAGATGAAACTTAGAAACTCAGAAACTCGGAAACTCAAAAAGTCGGAAACTCGGAAACTCAAAAAGTCGGATGTCGTTTCAGGGCTTCCATCATATATGGAGCTCCTTGATACAGAGACCCTAGAACATATATTAGTGTTCTATTGTCTCTGGTATATATATACTAGCACAGTGACAATAGCTCCACCTATGGGTTGAAATAGTGCAAATCTATTATCGCGTAACATCTTTCCCCTTATACAAAATGAGATTCTTATAACTGACAAATTATAACTGTGTGCCAATACTGACATCAAATTATATGTTAAACGTAAATGTATCTAAGTGTATCTAGCACCCTGAAATCCTAACCAATAACGTAATACTCGGGGACCGTTACGGATACTGCTAAACTGAACAATAATAACGATTAAAAATTTAGCCGCTCTACTTTCTTGATGACTCTTCCTGATCTCGTACGGTATGCGGCGTCTCCTTTCTCTGCGGTTGTCGAATCTGTTGCATCTGACTCTAAATACTCTGTAGCTTCCACCGTTGGATGCTCCAGGAGGATCTGCTTGGAGCATGTTGGAACAGGATGCCGCTGGTCCGGCACCTGTACGGCTGTGCACGCTTGCTCGGGTAGAGGCCGTGACGCCTGTTAATTGCTATCTGCCCGAGAAAACCGGGAAAACTGCCTGTTCGTGTTATAGCGTTGTCCGCCTGGTGCTGTCACCTCATACCTTCGACTGTTAAGCTAGCTGTTGCGTGACAGTCTCACCTTTCCATTCGCTGTGACCTCTCTGAATGGGTTGCATCCTTACATGTTTGCCTACTCTGAGGGGTTTCAAGTCCCTTCTCCCTCGATTTAGACGATCTGCTACTTCCCATCTCCTGTCTTCCATCCTGTACCTCTCAGCTTTTCCGGGGTCATGACGAATCGGTTCTAGCTTGTGGGTAGTTGTTAGAAATGAGCGTTTTTGTTTGCGTACCAAACAGCCTTTGTACTGGACTGGTCGAAATTCCGTCTGTCGGAGTATTTGTCAAGTTTAACAGCCCTATGCATGAATCCTCTTTAGATGTTTTACACTTTTTCATCATTCTTTTGGCTATTTTTACTGCAGCCTCCGCAGCCCCGGTAGCCTTGCTGTTTCATGGACTTGTGATTTTGTGCTTGAATCCCCACGTCTTACTGAAGCGCTTAAACTTGTCTGAGGTGTACTGCGGCCCTCCATCGCTCATGACAACGTCGGGAATTCCGTGTCTTGCAAAGTGGTGCTTCATCTTTCCAATTACAGTCTCAGCCAACGTGTCTGACAAGTAGTCCAGTTCGAAGAAGTTGCTATAATAGTCAACAGTGACTAGATATGCTCTGTTCTCGAATGTTAGTAGTGTAATGAAGCAGAAATCACGCAAGCGGGAAATTAATATAGAAATGTAGGAATATAGAGCACAAGCGTTGATGGCACGCGGGTGGAGAAATTAGTTGGAGAGACGCGATGTTATAGAAGCGTCCAACGGCACATTGGGTAATTAACACCACCACACTAGGAAGATTGGTAACCCTTGACTCGGCAGATGTTGCAAATAGTAGCGGGCCACGGAAGGCATTAGATACACATTAGATATAGATTAGAGGTACATTAGTTACGGAAGGCGAGCACGCAGTAGTGTTGGCTAAGATAAGTAGCCACGAAACAACGCATGCAGAATAAAAGTAACCAGGGACATTTTGGCAACCAGCCAGAGGCCAAAGGGTTGGGTTTGAACACAGTCCAGACTGACGTAAGATAGACCCGGTGGTCACTCGTCATAGGAATGTCCGACGCCCAACCAATAGAGGAGATGGCCGAAGCGGACGGCGAGGTGAGAAGGGGCACGCCCGACGGTAAGGGCACGCCCAAGGGTATAAAAGGGGACGCGAAGAGAGAACGTGGCCGGTTGTGACGCCCGAGTGCTGTGTAAAATAAAAGAACGTTTTGCCTGTGAGAATACGACTGTTCGCGTTATAACCAACTTCAACTTATTTAACGCTACAGTAGGTCTGTGCCTACCCTCGACGTAGTACATCATGCATGCGCAGATCGGTCTCCGGTGCCTGCTTATCGCTGTGAGTCACACAACTGATACAACACGTACTCGACGAATGGGGTTAGCCGCTAGAAACAGTTGTCGCTGGAGGGCAGCACATCTGCAGAGGTGAAGATTATCCGCGTATCCATATGCACACCCGGGATAAAGTGGGGAAAGTGGGTGTTTATTCTTTTGTCTGTGCTGAGGAGTTATGTAATATGTTTATTGAGATTCATGTATGTATGTAGGTACATGTATGACCTGCAGAAGAGCCCCTACAGTCGTACACCACCTATATTCGCGCTGACAATATATATGCGTGCGTGGGTGTGCACGTCCACGTGTATGCGTGCGTGCGTGCGTGTGCACGTACAAGTGCGTGCGTGCGTGCGTGCGTGCGTGTGTGCGTGCGTGCGTGCGTGTGTGCGTGCGTGCGTATGCACGTACAGGTGCGTGCATGCGTGCGTATGTACGTGCGTGCGTGCGTGTGCACGTACAACTATGTTGTTATATATACAACGATAATAATGTAACAGTAATATAACGGTTTCACAATATAAATGTGTATTTGTAGCTGATATAAAACAGACATGTGGTTCAGTTGGGTACCATAAAGTATATTAATATGTGCACATTATACTTACTGAAGGACAATCAGTTTCTAAGCCATTTTGAATCGCTCGTATATGCGGTGGCAACTCAACCACAATATGTTCTTCAGTATTTTTTGCTCTCACATGCTGGACCAACTTCGCTAACTGCCAGCTGTCACACAAATTTGGAACCTAAAAACAATACAATTTAGTCGAAGCGTTGGGGTTAGCGCAAACAGTCACTTTTTCAATGTGAACTATCTTTTCGAAGTGCAATCGTATATGCAAATAATATTGGGCGACATTCTATGTTCATCAATCCACCGACATAATATATAAATACTCGTCTATACGAAGTTTTCTTATCCCGGGTTACACAGTCTCGGGTTAGCTTAACCCGAGTTAAGACTTGCGCAGCGTCTATACGAGCACCACCCGCTCAATGCTTGAG